AAATAAAATTCTTGCAAGAAGAATTATAGAAAATACTTCATCAACTTAGTAAGTCGAGAGCGGAAGGATGGAAAAGCAATTAAGGAAATTATGAAAAAACTTTGTCAATTCATGAACCAACTAAATTTATAGAAGAAGAAGTTATAATTATGAGATAAGGAGGAAAATAAGAGAGGAAAATTATAAGAAGACCTTTGGATGAAGATGAGAATATAGAAGAAGGAGAACAACTTTTAGAAGATCTAGGTGAAGGTTATTATGTAGTTTCTAGAAAGATTGTTGATAATGATTTATCTCTTACTTCTTCAAAGTGGAAGAAGAATAATGATGGGAATTATGAATAATCATTGGGAGTTGAACCATCTTAGTATATTACAGAAGAAGTCTTATAGTTTAATAATGAAACAGGAATGATGGAAAGAAAACTAGTAAGAAAACCTTATTTTGGAGGAAAAGTACAAGAAGGAGATTCATTAAATGAAGTAGATAAGAATGGAAACAAAGTGCTTTCACGTAAAATAGAATCCAATCTTTAACCTAAAGAAAGCAAATAATAATGGTAGAATGTTGGTAAATAAGAAGAGATCATCCTAAATTCAGAAGAACCAGAACAATTTATTGAAGAAGAAATCATTTAAATCAATCCAAAAACAGGAAAATTAGAGAGGAAAATTGTAAGAAAACCATTAAACAATGAAGAAATAGATAATTTATAGATAGGATAAAACTTAGAAGAAGATTTAGGAAATGGTAAATAAGTAATTTCAAGGAAAATCGTTTAAAATGATCAATCAAATTAAGCCTTGAAATAACAAGGTTGGATCAAAAATAATGATGGAAATATGGAAATCAAATTTCAACCAGAACCTGTTAAATATGTTGAAGAAGAGATATTAATTTAAGGTGAAGATGGAGTTGTTTAAAGAAAACTAGTTAGAAGACCTTTCTTACCTTAAGATAATAAATTATAAACAGGAGCTGTGATAGAATAAGATTTAAATGGAAATAAAGTAGTCTCAAGGAAGATTGTATCAAATAATAAACCAGTTGATTCAACCTGGGTTTAATTGAATAATGGATAATTAGAGAAAATAGTTTCATAGGAAGAACCTGAAGCATATATTGAAGAAGAAATCATCATAATAAACCCAAAAACAGGTAAACAAGAGCGTAAATTGGTTAGAAGACCTTATGAAAATGATGAAGAAATTGGGGATTAATTAAATGAATCAATAGGTAATAACTAAAAAGTTGTGGCTCGAAGAATTGTACAAAATGATAGTTCTTTAAATGAATGGAAGAAAAATTAGAAAACTGGATAATTAGAAAAAGTAATTGTTTAGAATGAACCAGCCAAATATATTGAGGAAGAAGTCTTAGTAATGAATGAAGAGACAGGAAAGATGGAAAGAAAATTAGTAAGAAAACAGTATTAACCTGGTTTGAATGTACGGAAATAATATATAAGAAAATGATTCATATGGAAATAAAATTCTTGCAAGAAGAATTGTTGAAAATACTTCATCAACTTAGTAAGTTGAGAAGGAAGGCTGGAAAAGTAATTAAGGAAATTATGAAAAAACCTTGTCAATTCATGAACCAACCAAATTTATAGAAGAAGAAGTTATAATTATGAGACAAGGAGGAAAATAAGAGAGGAAAATTATAAGAAGACCATTAGATGAAGATGAGAATATAGAAGATGGAGAACAACTTTTAGAAGATTTAGGTGAAGGTTATTATGTAGTTTCTAGAAAGATTGTTTGATAATGATTTATCTCTTACTTCTACTAAGTGGAAGAAGAATAATGATGGGAATTATGAATAATCATTGGGAGTTGAACCATCTTAATATATAACAGAAGAAGTCTTATACGTTTAATAATGAAACAGGAATGATGGAAAGAAAACTAGTAAGAAAACCTTATTTGGGAGGAAAAGTACAAGAAGGAGATTCATTAAATGAAGTGGATAAGAATGGAAACAAAGTGCTTTCTCGTAAAATAGAATCCAATCTTTAACCTAAGGCAAGCAAATAATAATGGTAGAATGTTGGTAAATAAGAAGAGATCATCTTAAATTCAGAAGAACCTGAACAATTTATTGAAGAAGAAATCATTTAAATCAATCCAAAAACAGGAAAATTAGAGAGGAAAATTGTAAGAAAACCATTAAATAATGAAGAAATAGATAATTTATAGATAGGATAAAACTTAGAAGAAGATTTAGGAAATGGTAAATAAGTAATTTCAAGGAAAATCGTTTAAAATGATCAATCAAATTAAGCCTTGAAATAACAAGGTTGGATCAAAAATAATGAAGGAAATATGGAAATCAAATTTCAACCAGAACCCGTTAAATATGTTGAAGAGGAGATATTAATTTAAGGTGAAGATGGAGTTATTTAAAGAAAACTAATTAGAAGACCTTTCTTACCTTAAGATAATAAATTATAAACAGGAGCTGTGATAGAATAAGATTTAAATGGAAATAAAGTAGTCTCAAGAAAGATTGTATCAAATAATAAACCAGTTGATTCAACCTGGGTTTAATTGAATTAATGGATAATTAGAGAAAATAGTTTCACAGGAAGAACCTGAAGCATATATAGAAGAAGAAATCATCATCATAAATCCGAAAACTTAGAAATAAGAAAGGAAATTAATCAGAAGACCTTTGACTCAATCAGAAGTAGGTGTAAATTGGAGAAAATGCTTTAACGAATTAGGTGATGGCACTAGAAAAGTGGTTGCTCGAAGAATAGTCTCTAATGAATAATCTTCATGGATCCTAAATTGATAAGATTGGTAATCAAAATAAGGATAGATGGAAATTTAATTAGCTTAGAATGAACCTACTAAATATGTTGAGGAGGAAGTTCTTTGTTATGGAGAAAATGGAATACAAAGAAAATTAGTTAGGAGACCTTTAACAAAGGAAAATTAATAAATGGGAAATAACTTAAATGAAGTTGATTAGGATGGAAATAGAATTTTATCTAGAAAAATAGTTGATAATTCTTAATCATTTAATTAAGTTCAAAAAGATTGGTAAAAAGGGTAAAATGGTGCTTTAGAAAAGATAATTTCATAAGAAGAGCCTGAGCAATATGTTGAAGAAGAAATAATAATAATAAAATCCAAAAACAGGCAAACAAGAGCGTAAATTGGTTAGAAGACCTTATGAAAATGATGAAGAAATCGGAGATTAATTAAATGGAATCAATAGGTAATAACTAAAAAGTTGTGGCTCGAAGAATTGTACAAAATGATAGTTCTTTAAATGAATGGAAGAAAAATTAGAAAACTGGATAATTAGAAAAAGTAATTGTTTAGAATGAACCAGCCAAATATATTGAGGAAGAAGTCTTAGTAATGAATGAAGAGACAGGAAAGATGGAAAGAAAATTAGTAAGAAAATAGTATTAACCTGGTTTGAATGTAGGAAATAATATATAAGAAAATGATTCAAATGGAAATAAAATTCTTGCAAGAAGAATTGTTGAAAATACTTCATCAACTTAGTAAGTTGAGAAGGAAGGATGGAAAAACAATTAAGGAAATTTTAAAAAACCTTGTCATTTATGAACCAACCAAATTTATAGAAGAAGAAGTTATTATTTATGAGACAAGGAGGAAAA